GTGATAAAATTAGGTTTTGGCGGGATGACTGGTTAGATGGTGAGTGTCTCATGAGGAGGTATCCAAGGATCTATACTATTGCACAATCAAAAGACGTGGTGATTGAGGGGGCTTACAGGAGTATCAACAAAAGCACTGAATGGATGGTATGTAATTAGGAACCTAAATGATTGGGAAGTCAGTGAGTATGAAGACTTATTGCCGCTACTTTCATCACAACGGGTTAATTCCATTCTGGATAAGGTAATATAGAAATTGAGCAAAACTGAAGACTTTTCTGTGAAAACCTCTTATAAGCATATTTTCTCGAACGGACAAATCAGGGGCCATTGTTTCCCGGCTCAGCAAATTTGGAAATCAAAGGCGCTTCCTAGAATTGCTTTTTTTGCCTGGGAGGTTTGCCGGGGTTGCATTTTAACTATCGACAAGCTGATGGGTAGACAGCAGACCATGGTTAACAGATGTTATCTATGCAGGAGCGCTGCGGAATCGCATAATCATGTCCTTTTGTGGTGTCCTTTAGCGTATGAGTTGTGATGCATGATTTATGGTTTATTGGATATTAATTGGGTCATGGCGGGTTTGGTTAAAGAGGAAATTTAGGCATGGGATGAGTTATGTAAAAAGAGAGTTTGTAAAGTTGATTCCATTGACCATTTTTGGGGTTCTTTGGAAGGAAATGAATTATAAAGATTTTGAGAGTAAAGAAGTAGAGAACTATAGATTGAGAGATAGATGGTTTCATTATTTTGGATTTATCTTGTTAAGGTATGGCATTATTAGGGATGAGAATTTTGGGAATGTCATTAACACGCTAATTCACTTGTAAATTTTTTATATACGGATGGTACCCCCCTTGATACCTTGTTTATAACACATTTCACAATTTTTATTTCAAAAGAAAGTGTCAGTAATATTGTTGATATTCAATTATGGAAGTTGACTACCATTATACTATAGGAAATTTCCCCATAAGATACCAATCTGTATAGAAATTAGATTTCCACAAGAAGTCAGTTTTCCACATAACTATGCTAATATGCCAATAGCAAGATTAAGTGTGATTAGCACTTTTTATACTCAGGTGGAACATGAACCAGGTGGAACATGAACCTTCCAGTGTCAACTAAATTCCTTTTCTTTTCCAAGTTCAATTTTATATAAATATTTGTTGAGGTGGAAACTTACTATCAGCATTTCACTGTTATCTAATGTCTCAAGCATCTGTTTTCAGTCTTAGCATAATGTTTCCTAATAGAAAAGGAAGATTTCTTTTTTATATGAAAGTTCAAAAAGAAAAGCAATATGGATATCTCGTGTATTAGACTTACTTTTGTCAATATGTGATGAAAAAACTGCCACAGGTAAAGTTGGAGGGTTTATTGCGTCCGTACCTGAGGTCATGATTGCGGCTCTTCTTTGCTTCATGTGGGCAATGCTTACAGCACTGGGTTTATCAAATCTACGTTACAGCGAGGCTGGGAGCTCCCGAAATATCATTATTGTTGGGTTGTCTTTGTTTTTCTCCCTTTCAGTGCCAGCTTACTTCCAGCAATATGGCATATCTCCAAATTCCAATTTGTCTGTGCCAAGTTATTTTCAGCCCTATATTGTGGCCTCTCACGGTCCTTTCCAAACTAAATATAAAGGGGTATACAATTCATTTCTATTCATGTAATTACTTATAGATCACTTGCTTTACATTCTTAGAGGACAATATCTTAACAATTCAGCAAAACTGCATGTTTTGTTTTCTCTATTTCCATTTCACTCCATTGATAACAATAACAATATTTGGTAAACATGTTGGCCATGCAGGTGAACTATGTCATGAATACATTGCTTTCATTGCACATGGTGATTGCATTCCTTGTTGCTGTGATCTTGGATAATACTGTACCGGGCAGCCAACAAGAACGTGGAGTGTATGTATGGTCTGAGCGAGAGGCTGCAAGGAGGGAGCCTGGTATTGCCAAAGATTATGAATTGCCGTTCAGGGCTGGTCGCATTTTCAGATGGGTTAAATGGGTTGGTCTTTGAGGAATATTTGGTATTCCATTGATGTCGTCTCTTGGATGGTATGTATTGGAATGGGATGATATGTATTGCTGTGTGATTGAAAATGCAGGTCCTCTAAGCTCAGCTTGGTAAATAGATGTTAGAAAATTGTTTTTTTTTTTTTTTCATTTTTCTTCTTATGCAGTGGAACTTGTTGGGGTTATAGAGATGAGTTGATTATAGTTTACGCTCAGGAGTCGTAGGAGTTCTGTTCTGTGCTGTGCTGTTGTAATCGTATCATGAAAAGATGTATCTACTTTTGGTCCATTGAAATTTCTGCAGAGGGCATTTTCATTATAGCTGCCCTCGTGTCATGTATATTTTTTCTCCCCAAAATCAGCCTTGTTTCTTTTTGGTGTCTGATTTATTGTATTTTACGGTGAAAACAAATTCTGCGTGGCTGATTCTGTATTTACTCGAGTAGTTTTGTTCTTAGGGTTTGTATTAGGGAAAGGATTTCATCTTTTCGTTTGAATTGTGACACTTTTGAGTTTTATGCTTGCAGTTACGGAACATTCTGCAATCTCTGGAGTGAACATCTTGCAATTATCTTATCTTACAGTGTGTATAATCATTAGGGTCTGTAACATGTAAAGCTGGAACTGAATTTGAACTTCACCAGACGGAGGATGCATATAATTATTCTTTTTTTTTTTTCTTTTTTCTGGGATGCATATAAGTTGAACCGGATCAAATCAAATCAGATCAAATATGTTCCTTGTTAGTTCTG